TGAATTTACAAAGCAGTTTTTTTTAAAAAAAATCTTTAAAAAAATTGAAAAAGCAAAAAAAAGCGTACTATTTTTGTCTTTTTAAAACTTTTTTTGAATTTTTAAAATTTGTTAGTGTGTCTTGCCGAGCTGATTTAGAAAAAAACATTTTGAAAATTTTAATTTTTTTCTTGTTAAAAAAAATATATCAAATAATCAAATCTAAACACCCACTAAAAATGATAGGAAAAGAAAGTCATTAAGAAAGCTAACACAAATAAGTGGAAATTGATTGACCAATTTGGCTAAATTTTTTTTTTATGTGTGCCATTTGAGAAGAGTTAAAGTAGACTTTTTTTTGTTATTTTAGTTATAAAAGATAAAATAGATTATTTTAATCATAAAAAATAAAATATCACATCACATTCATAATCATTACATTTTTCTCTCACAAAAAAATCAAAAAATCATTTCCAAACTAAACTTTTTAACTCAAATTAAAATAATTAAAAAAATCAAAAAGCCAACTCACTTTCTAAATCACACTAAAATACACACAGGCACAATTTTTTTTCCTATCTTTTGTCATTGACTGACAGGTTGACTGTCTTATTCGGATCTTCCGAGCCATATTCCGCCACGTGTACGATGAGAACGATAGTGTGCTTCCCTACAACATAGAGATCGCACCAAGGTCTGTTGACGCGCATCACCGCACAACTCATGTTTGGTTACGAGTATTGAATTGTACAATCCTATTATTGCAATCTGCTCCGACCACGAATCGCTGAACTTTCAATTTCTCGGTTAGGTTATTCCGAATTTATTTCAATTATTATCAATCAAAGTAACCATCTAAAAAACAAAAGAAGAAACAAAAAGTCCTTTTACGTGATGATGAATTGGCAACACTTTTGTCAAGATACTTGCGTTTGAGCTTAAAGGAAAGCTATATGATGGAGATTTGGGAACAATTCCTTGATCCATGTGTAAAAAAAATAAAATTGTATATATATATTAGAAGTGGATGCATATTGTATGTGTTTTGACAATTATATGAAAGAATTAGATATGAACTAATAGAATACGGTAATGATAGTTATTTGAAGCAATTGGATATCAATTATATAATGAAGATTATTTTCAAGACAAAAACAAACCCAAAAGAAAAAACTTTTGATATCTACATTAATTTGAGAATTGATTTTATATAATAATATAAATAATACATATATGGGTTGGAAGGGGATCATTTTTATGCTACAAGGCCATGATAATGACCCTACAAAATGGGAATGTAATCTCAAAGTTGGAGTTGTTATTGAGCAATAAGAATATATGCCCACAATTACATTATGATGCTAAATTTCATACATTTATCAACATTAACGCATTCCCTTGACCGTGTTTTTGTTTTTATTTTTCAAAACATATAAAAAAATTATTTGACAAACCGATTCTAAAAACTAGGACTGTGTTTGGTAAGGCTCTGAAAAATTGATTCCACTTGTTGGTTTGAATATAATGTTTGATTAGCGCTTTTAAAAATTAATTTCACTCTCACTTTTCAAAACATGTCTATCCGGTCATCTCCCCAAATGTCCCTCTGGACATCCGGCCGACTGATCGAAATAGTGTTCGTTTTTTTATTATTTTTTCATTTTTTTTACACCTGCTATTTTTATATTTTAAATAAAAAAATATTTTCAGAATTTTTTAAAATTTTTTATGAGTTTTGAATAGAATTTTAGACTGTGTGTTTGGTTATAAGTTGTAAATTTTTGAATCAAATATCATATGTCACATCATTCATCTCAAACTCAATTTAAAACTCTTTTCAAAACTCATAACCAAACAAATTTCCGACACTCAAAACATAATTTCAAAACTCACAAATTCAAAATACAACTCTATTATCAAATCATAATTATAAAATTCTAACAAACGCTACCTAATATTCTAAAATAAATTTTTCTAAAAACAACCACTTGTTAAAGAAACAAGAAGTAGTTGTCTTTTAATTTTTAAAAAAATAATTTTGCACACAAATAAAAAAATGATATGTTTTTCAAAAGGTATCATTCTTTTTGTTTTTGAAAACACAAAAACACAACCAAATATAGATCTAAATGATAGGTAATCCACTTTTTTATTTTTTATTTTTTTTTATTATTATAAATTTTTATATATGTAACCGTGTGAAGTGCAATTGAAATATCTTCTATTACTTATTGCTAATCCATTTGAATTTTTGTTTCATTATGGGTATCATGTCCATATTATGGTGAATTTTGGTGAGAATCCACAATTGATTTTATTCTCGACAAGATGGGAAGGTGAGATCCATTTAGTTAAAAACAATGAAAAGTGAACTTTGAAAATTTTGGCCCTATTTTGAGTCCAACTTTTTCCATTGTACAATAATCTCACACACACCAAAAAATCAAAAAAATAATAATCATATTGCCATGGAAAATTGTCCACCTAGATTTAAAAAAATCTTCATCCTATAGTCTAAATTGGTATCAAATATATTCTCATGTTCCTTTCACTTCAATTTTTTAAGTCATACTAAAATCAATTTATTAGATTGTCATAAAGGTAAAAATAATATCAAACTAGATATAATCCCAATGCACTTATATTTTCATACATTTCTATATAGTTTAATACGTGAATTGACGACTATCTACTAAATAATCATTGAAATTGATTGGCTATCCATATACACAATGTTTTTTTGTTTTTAAAGTTATTGTTTTAAACATTCAAAAAGACTTGCCACAAATTGTCAGATTAAATTGATTTAGCCAAGAAAGATCTGAGAGTCTTTAACCACTATTTCAGCCGAGTTAGAATACCAAAAAAATTCTTCATTGTATACTTTTATGAAAAAATGTGGTGTATGGACCCATTCAGTAGAACTTGGCATTTTTCTAACTTTCCTTTGCGACCATCATCAATAATTATCGTCCAACAAAATTGTTTTTTATTTTATTTTTATTTTCTAAAGATTAAAGGGTCATTAAATAACAAAAAAGACTTGAACTTCTAAAATAAAAAGTGAAAATTTACTTGTGAATTAAGGCCATTGGACGGTATTGTATTAGTTGTTAGAATTTTTGTAATTGTTAGGCCCACGTGAAGACTTGCATGCCACCACAAGTTGTTGCAAAAATGAAGTGTGCCACTACAAATTGTTGCAAAAATGAAACGTGCCACCTCAAGTCTAGTCATAGGAAAAAAAGAGAGAGAGACAGCTCCAACAGAAAATGTTGGGGTATTGCTCTAACGTACCCTAACCCCATTGTATAAGTGATGTAAGGTCTTTTGGATTGTTTAAAAAATATACATACTGAACTGGGTCAATTTAGATATTAGTTCAATAAGATATAGTTGGTCACTCAAATTATAATTAGATTGTTTTAGAATTAGGTGTTAGTCATTCGCTGTCACTTTGAGAAATTTCATAAAAATTGTGATCAGCCTCATGAAAGAGTGATAGTTAAGAATCAACACGGTAGAGATCTCCTCCGGTAAGCCTTAGCGTATCATGGTAAATTGTTAATAAGTCATAATAATTAGATTTAATTCCTATTAAATTTTATTGAAAGTTAGTCCTAGTAAATTATAGCTAAAAATATTTTTTTATGACTTTTTTTTGTATACAACGCTAAAAATTGATAATTAATGACCATTTTTTGTCACGATTATTATAAATTGTTACTAAAACTTATAATTAGTGACGTTTTTATGTGACAAAATTTTTAAATTGTCATTGAAGCTTGAAAATTAATGTTTTTTTGTGACATTTGTTTAAACTATCACTAAAACTTATAATTTGTAATTTTTTTTGTGATAAATTTTTCAAACTATCATTGAAAACTGACAATTAATGATTTTTTTTAATAATGTTTGATGAAAATACCGTCAATTATCACAAAACTTATTGAACAATAAATCTATATATTAGGACCTACATGTAAATCCTTTTAATACCAATTGTTAGTTAAGAAAAGTTTACTGTTATAAGAGAAGTAGAAAGAGGTTTAACACTTATTCATCTCTCATAGAAATAATTAGTTGGACATATGCCTATTTTTATAAGGAGTGTTTTGAGAAGATGGTTAAAAATTAATTTTTGAAATTTTTTTGAATTTTTTGTATAAAAAATATGAGAAGTGATGTGACATAAAATACATTAAAAATTAATTTTTTTTGGCTTTTTTGGTTGTTCCCAAATGGCCCCTAAGTTGCCCTCCACATATGTTTAAGTTTCAAAATTTTGGAGAAATTCAAATGGCTAATTCAAATGGCTTGTTCAATTCCCTCCCCCCAAGCCAATCTCCTGGGTGAAACATAGTTGGTTAGGAGGTTGGACCTCAAGTTGTCTAATCAGCACTTGGTGTGGGTTTAATGCTCCCCCGCTGTGCAAGTCCTGACTTAAGCGGAGCTTGTTTTGGGAGGTCGGAGCAAGTTCCCAAGTTATAGTCTCCTCGTTCGGAACGGCTAACAGGACACCCTGGTAATCTCTGCAAGCGCCTTGGACCTGCAGGAGGGTAGAGAGGATTTTCCTGTAATAAAAAAAAAATTGAGTTGCTATGGAAAGTTAGTGAAAAGTTAATTTTTTAATTTTAAAAAAAATATATGTAATAAAAATAGAGTGATAATATAATTCAAAATAGTTTAAAATTGACTTTTTAACTTTTAATTAAGGCATTGTTTGGGAACAGACTAATTTAGTAATTTTTTGACTATTTTGTTAAAATATGAGTTTAAAAAAACTAGTATGTTTGGGATGATTTTTTTATTTTTTACGAAAAGATGTGCAAAAAGTAGAGAAAAAGAAAATCTTTAACTTTTTGGTATGAATTATTGACTTTTTAACTTTTTTAGTAATTTTTTAACTTTTTAACTAAATGGACTGATTCCAAAATGAGGCCTAAGTCTCTAAATTCAGTCATAAATACCAGACTTTTTTCTCTTTTTCCAACCCTTTCATTCTCAATTAAATCATTTTATTTTTTTGAATCTTCTAGCAAGACAAACGTAAGGCGTGTTTATGCTTATAAATCAAGCTACTTGTCCCAACTTTTTGATGGGTTTTCATTTCACAAAAATCTAGCAACTGGTCCAGAATCCAGACGGGTCCATTTCTTACACAAAATTCCAAAATAAAGAAGAAGATAAGAAGGGTGATGGTGTAATATTAGAGTTATACAAGGGGTGTCACTGTAATTTACCCTCGAGCCGCTCCAAAACGCGGGAAACACAGGCACACACTCTTTTTGTCTGCAAGCGTGATCAACAAGTGATCTCTGTCCATTTTATATGTATGTATCAACATATCTCTTGATTTCTTCACTAAAATGTGTGTTTAAATTACTATCGATTACCATTTTAGGGTTTAATTGTTTGTTGTTGCAGAGGAAAATGTATTCGAATTCTAGTGTTTCATTAGCAATTTTATCGCATCTGAAACGAAGAATTTGAATTCCTTGGTTTTGTGGCTTAATTTTTCGATTTAGCTGAAATGTTTATAATTATTATTTTTGTCTTGCTTTTTAGATCCGAAATTTCTTGAATTTCTGTTTTTAAAAGGGAGAGAAGGAATGTAAAATGCAAGAGGCAATGTTTAAATTGTGTTTCTAGAGAAGCTTCTTACTGGTTTTGAGAGCAAATTGACATGGTTTTTGCTTTCAAAATAGGATAAGTGCGTCTGAAATCACAACCAGACTGTGGCTAATCAAATAAGTGCTCCATTTGTTGCTGAATTACTAGTGTTTGCTATGAAAATGTTGTCTATTATTGTTGTTTCAATTCAGTACTATATGCTAAATGATGATATATACTGCTCTTGTTTGGTTGCTGGAAAGGGTTCTGATTCCCCCTCCCCCTCTCTCGCAGAAGGGTTATCACCATTGAAATTAGCATGGATAATGTGCATTTATCTCAATGATGGCCTTTAACAGGTAACCGTGGGAACTATTCTGACATTTCCTTTCCTATCTCAACTCAACGAGTTTTTTTGTAGGTGTTATTCAGTCTGATCTGTTAAATATGTATCAATAGATATTGTTTGGTAGAAATTCCTAATTATTTAGGCTTTGTTTTTCCATTATGGGTGTGGATTGAAAATTCTGATGCATAATGTTTTACCATGGAATTTATATTAGTTTGTGTTAATTTGCTTTGATTACATGTATAGATTCAAAGTTAAGTGTGCAAACAAGTCAAACCAAGCTTAATATTTTCTTATTAATGTATTCTGTTTCATTAGCTTTGTTCAATTGCATTCCAGCATATTTGGTGAGTGTGAGCTCGTTCTTGGGTGCAATCAATCTTGCTCAGCATAAGGATCCAGGGATTTCCCTTTTGCATGTCCTGAAATTTGCTTTGCTTCATTTATTGCATGTTATTAGCACTTCATTCAACTTGTGTGTTACTTGTTCAGTGCATGTATTGTTAATTGTCAGATCAATGGTATCAACAAACTTTTTCCTTGGTGTGATGGTATATGCTGCCAACAAGGCTAGGGTATAATAGATGGGCTGGTTACTTCAAGCATGCTTTCAATGGTTAGGGTAAGGGTGAAATAAGTCCTAAAATGAATAAGTGGATGGTTACTTGGATCCGAATCAGATTATGTGTACCGTGGTTTTCATGTGTTGCAAAATATAGTGTGACAAGAAGAGATGAGGTGCAGTAAAATTTGGAATAGGAAGGTAATTTAGAAAGAAGAATTTTAATAAAAAATTGAAGATCAAAGAGAGACTAGAAGGAATAAGGGAGATGTAGCTTTTGATTTACAACTCTTATCACTCTTTGAAGTGTAAGTCTGGGGCAAATCTGCATGGGCAAAAGTTTGCAAAGAAACTCGCACTATTTCCATGACATATTATTTTATTGGGTGAGATTCATGTGTCTATTTGGTGGCCAAATCCTGTGCTTCAAATTCCATAATCTTGCCGGCATGCATGCATGCGCGGTGGCATCTTCTTGCTACATTTCATTCATCTCCTATTGCCCCTGATATTTCCCAAGTTAGATTGACCATTGAATTTTAGAAGAGAAAAAGGGAAAAAAACAGAAAATATAAAACAAGAATGAAAATATAAAACAAAATGTCTTGACGTACTTTAATCTTGATTACTAAGCACATGGAATTTTAAGTCAGTACATGGTCATTAAATAGGCCCTTATACGGGCTCCATGTAAGGCACACATAAATTTTTTACTTATATCATCTTAGCATTGACCAAACACGGAAGGCTTTTACATCTTCATGCTGAACAACTAGCGAATTTAACTCATCACCTATAGCTGCAGGCAGCTTCATGAGTCAACTATGCATGGATCAAGACGTTGGAGATTGGTAGGGACTGAAATTAAAAGACAAGTACGCAATACACAATTCATATAGCATGACTTGACTTGAAACTATGAAAATGAGACTCTGCAGTTATACTGTTAATGCTGTGTTATTTGTGCATATTACTTCCATAAATAACATTCACTTTTGAAAGCTACCTCTTTGGGAGACCCAACTTCTTCACATTACACTGTTTGATCTGCATGTGCAAATGCACAACTCTCTCCCACTAAGTCTTTAGCCTTTAATGATTCTTTATCCCAATCCATCTTGTATATCACTATGAAGATTGAAATTACACATGCCACCTGAGCTGCTAAAAGCCCATAACAAAGGCCCAAAAATCCAAGTTTCTTGACAAAGGCCAAAATGATAGCCACTGGCATACCCACCAAGTAAAATGAGTAAAAGTTTATACCTGCTCCAACACCGGGCCTAGCACTTCCACGGAGAACCCCACAACATGTGGTTTGTGGACAGTTTGCGAGCTCACATAGCCCTATTATGGGTAGCACAGCCATTGTTAACTCTAGAACCTCATTGTCTTTTGTAAAAACTCTCCCCCATGATTCTCTCCCTAAGGTGGTCCATAACAAGCCAAAAACAGATGTTAAAAGGGCCAGTCCTATAGCTACCACTGTTGCCAAACTGGCCTTACCTGGCCTGCCCGCTCCAAGCTCATTGCTCACTCTGGTTGACACTGATGCACTAAATGCAGAAGGCAATGTATACATGAGAGAGGTGGTTTGTATTATTATAGCTGATGTTGAAAGGGCAACATGAGGTTTGTTGAGGTAACCCGCTAGAATTGTCATGAACTCGTACCACCACCACTCCAAACAAACAGCTAGACAACTTGGTATAGCAAGTCGAAGTAGCATTCCCCACTCCTCCCCTAGTGAAGTTGTAGAAAATGGCTTCATTTGGGGTATTAGTGGTTGACACATGTGCTTCTTTGGGTTGTGAGTGTAGATTATGTAGCCTAGAAGGAAAAACAAGGTGTTAAAGTTGGTGACAAAGGTTGAAACTGCAATCCCCTGGACCCCAAGTCGAAGTCTGAAGGCAAAGAAAACGGTGATGGGAAGGTGGAGAAGCACTGCAAGTGAAGTGCACCACATCAATGGCCATGTCGTCCCTTTACTGCGTAAATAGACACGTAGTGGGTGAAGAAGGCTATTAGCAACGAGATCTGGGATGGCGTAGCGGCAGTAGAGGCTAGCAACATGTGTTATATCTGGGTTTTGGTGGAGCCTAAGCATGAGAGGCTCTAGGTTAAACCATAACAATCCTATTGGTATTGATGCTAACAGTAACATTAGAATTGTTCTTTGAAGACTGAGTGACACTAATGTTAAGTTTCTAGAACCAAAAGCCTGGCCGCAAAGTGGCTCCATCCCCATGGCTAGACCTGATAGAACTGAGTAGCCGGTGATATTGGTGAAGCCAATGGCTAGTGCACCGCCAGCTAGCTCGAGGCTCCCTAGCCTTCCCATGCACACAACTAGAATCATGTTTTTGAGATAGCCAATCAAGCCCATGGCCACTATGGGGAAGCTTATGTCGGTCATTCTCTTCAACTCCTCAACTACCTAGCAAAAGTTATGAATCAAAAAAGAGTTGTCAGAATGTAATACTGCACATTTGTCTGGCAAGAAGATTCTTGGAGTTTTTAAGATTCTGTAATTCCTACCTCAGGCATTGTTGGGTGCTTTTGGGTTTGCTCTGCAGCCATCTGTTTTTCCTTTTAGCTTTTTTTCTGCTTTTTCTTGTTTCCTTGTGAGGGTCAGAGAGTTCAATGGTAGGGATATCCTTTTGTTTTACACAGAGAGAGTGAGAGAAAGAGAGAGAGAGAGAGCTGCAATTGTCAGAAAAGAATTGGAAGAGCTTTATAAGGGTGGGAGGTGGTGGGCTTGAAACTTTTTGTTCTTAAAAGCTCTCAAACGGAAGGCAGAGTGCTGTAAAATTTTAAAAATTAGTGTATTAACCTTAGATAAGGGGTGCCTAATACTGTTCTAACTATGTTTTCATTTTTCTAAATAAAAGAGATGTGAGAACACATCCACTTCCTTTTTCGAAAAAACGAATCATGCCCAATGTTATATTTTTAAACTGACTTCACATGAAGAAATTTGTGGTCCAAAATAATTGTTGTTGCTGTTGATTTATTATAACTAGAAATAATTTAAAGCATGATATTACCATTGACTGGTCACTAGGTTCATATAGTGCTTTTGGTTTTCCCGTGATTTGCTTGTAGATTTTTGAAAGGGTGGTGTTTGTTTGAGTTAATTAGAAACAATCAAACTCTACAGAGTTGGCTGCAACCAGCTTGGCAAAGCAACCAAAGGCATTGCCTTAGAAAAAATGAGATTTGATATTTCACTTATAAAGCATAAATGCTTCTGGACGGTTACAAACCAAGGAAATTAGGGATGCTGTTTATCAGACAACATTCTTCCTTGTTTAGATGTCTAATTTTTTTATTTGTTTTGTTTTTTCATCTTCAAGTTTCATTATGTGGTTTGTGAAACTTTCTCTTGACAACTATTGTTCTGATGTTATTTGATGTACATTTCTGATAGCAAGTTCTTCAATATAATTAGTGGAGCTTTGGTACAAACTCCAATGTACCTCATCTTTAATGTTGAAACAAAAGAACACACTTAAATCATTAGTTTAGAACCATTTAAAAATCAATTTATATTTGCTGATATATGTGATATTTATGAAATCATTGAATTACAGACATGGCAAGCATTTATCTATGCCTCTGTACCTAACCATTATCACGAAGATATCAGTTTTTAAATAAAATCTCCCAATTATTTGAAGTTGGTGATCTTGTCCCATGTACATGATACGAGGGCTTAAAAATAAAAAAAAAGCAAGGCTAGGTGGAGGATCAGGTCCATGTCACATACAAGTTGGAATTTTCAGACTATGCAAAAAACTTGTCACGTGTTTTTGTAAGATTCCTTCAATGGATCCAAAAGCCAATGACCGAACCCCTCTTCCTAATACCCCATGTTTTCAATACTGGCAGTTTGGCAGATAGCTTTTCCAAGAAAGTTAATACAACCAACCTTCTTTCAATATCAGATCTTATTTTATTTTTCTCCTTTTATGAGCCAGGTCTCAGTCAATAACAAGCACACATTCTGTCTGCATTTTGGTTCATCTATAGGAGTTGAGTTCCTATGTACTATAGCCTATGGTAATAGTTGCTGTGTTGCTTTGCTTGGGATTGAAGTTGTGGCATGAGACAGGCAATTCATTTGTTAGTTACTTTTGGATATTAATTGCATGTTGCTACAGCACATGGTATCTGTAATAGGCGGTACATGCAATGTGGGAAGTGGGATCCTAGGAGCTGCTTGCACATTGATGTGTTTTGTGTTACATCTATGTTGTATGAAAATCTGCAATTTTTGAACATACATACACATATATATACATTCAAAACATGTTTTGCATGAGCCTGAATATACATGCTAATGCTTCTTATTCTTTTATTATCAAACATCACAAGAGTTTTACTTATTTTTTTTAATCAGTTCATGTTTGCAGATAACATTGCAATAACTCAACTATGTGCCGTTTTGGGAACAAAATAAAGTCACGTTTTTGGACAAAATGTCCAAAAACGCAACAAAATTGGTTTGGGAAGTGCCAAAAACGCAAGTACAAAATTACAAATTAGGGCCTATGACAAAAAAATAAAAAAATAAATTTCTTTTGTTGGGTAAGGGTATTTTGGTCATTTTAATTTGATTTGACACCATAAATAAATATTAAACTAAAAAGCCAAAAATCAAAAGTCAACTTTTTACCAACTTCCCAAATCACTTTTCAAAAAGTTAAAAAGCTTGGTAAAAAGTCAAAAGTCATCTTTTAACCAACTTCTCAAAAATCTTACTATGATATGTGATATAATTACAATTTTCATTGGTGGAGATTTAGGCCTCGTTTGGCATGTAAGACTTTTAGCCTAAAAACCAAAAAAATACTAAAAAAAATCAAAAAGTGTATAACTTATATCAAAAATTCAAATATTTCATTTTCTCTCTACTTTTTTGCACATATTTTTATTAAAAACTAAAAAGTCATTCCAAATATACTAGTTTTTGTTACCTCATATTTTAGCCAAAAAGTCAAAAAATTACTAAAATAGGTTGTTTCCAAACGAGGCCTTAATTTAGTTATTGATTTTTAATATTTTGGAATGACTAAGTATTTCTGTCATGTGAAGTAGATACTTCAAAGGAGGCAGAGGCTGAAGGTGAAAGATTTGCGTCATTTAGTAGCTGTTGTTACTTTACAAAATTTTCTTCTTGTGTGTTCGTCCCGTCAAAACAGGTACAATTTCTTTCATACTTTATCGTTTCTCCAAATGGGAATTCTGACCTTATTAAAAAAATGCTGCATTCCTGTTCAGACACATCATCGACTTTCTTGATATTATTCTTGTAATCCCTTTAGAAGCCCGAGCCCCCCTTCACAATAATTTGCTTTATAGTTTCCCATTCATAATCAACACTTGCAATGAAAACAATCTTCTTGTCACACTTAGATGAAACCGTGCATGTGCATTTAGTTACACCAAATGACCAACAAATCAATCCTTATCAACAATAATTATCCCCACTCCCTTGTAAACTTGTAGACAAATTGCGTTTCAATCACTTCTTCCACCATGTCAAAGGTGGGTTATTATCCCTTCCCACCCAAAACTGTTTGCAACAACTACCATGGTATGGCTGTCAAGTTGAAGGGGCACCATCTCCTCCAATGGTCACGTCTCTCATGGTGTCAATAATGCCGATTTTTAAGTCTTTTTTGCTCCTTGCTTTCTTTCTTTTTTTGTCCTTTTTTAAGATCACATCATATATTTTTAAAAAACAATTATGGGCTTTTATAATGATTAAAAAAAAGCCCTGAAAAAGCAGTTCCCAAACTAAGATGTGATGTGTTGGTCCCTTGTCTCAAGCATTGCATCAAAGCATTAGAAAAACTTAGAGATTTCTTACTTCATCCTGCAATTAGTTAGTGATAAAGAGTACCTGTATTGTCCATCATTTCATTGAAAAGTGAGATTTGAAAGCCTTCATATAGTGATGAAAGCCTTCATATAGTGATAGAAGAGGTTTATACATATGATGCACTAACCACCAATCACATTTCAGATCTTATTATCTCAGTCTCAAGAGTTTAAGCAATTAAACCACAACTTGCACCAAAGTCTATGGCCCACATATATATTGGTTGTTTGTTTAGTGTATTTTGTTGACAAGCAAAAGGTGGTATAGGCTTAAAACATTATAATTAAAGAAAGAAAAACACTAGAATCTTAGGTTCATAATCAATGAACACTTAAGTAATAGTCAAAAAACAGAACTCGATAAAGAGATTTGCAGATGTTAACCTGTTTGATTTCCGGATTAGAGGGTGGGATTGGATTGTGGACCCCACATTTCCATCATTTAGATGCAACAAAAGGGTTCAGCTGCAAATCCCAGAAAAAAGTAGGGATATTGAATCTTAGGGGTGGTATTGTTAATCCTACTTGGTGAGACTATTTATCTTGTGCTAATAATGCCAGGTGATGTACTGTTCACTCACAATTATCCTTTGCAATCAAACATGACCTAAACGTAATAATTCTTATTTATGTCCACATGAGTTTTGACATTGCTTACTAGATATGGCACTAACGTTTCTTTGTTCTACTAGTCAGCAAGCTTTAATTTATTTTAAACCTCTAGTATGATTGTAGCTAGTACCTTCATAATTGGTGGAGAGAATCTAATCTCCTTCTCCATTAGATTATCCACATTGCTTGGTCCCTTGGCCTCATTATATGCCAGTGGAGGAGGAGGCATGTCCATTGAGTCAAAAACAGAAAAATATCAGGGTCTGACCTGATGTGCTTTTGTGCACGTATGAATATGAAAAAAAAAAAAAAAGGCATAAGAAATTAAATCAATCTTATTCTGTGTAAGATGAAAATCTAGGCTGTGTTTGGAAGGGTTTTGGAACTTTAGTTTGCATATGACGTTTGTTTGCAGCTTTCAAAAATTAATTTCACGTTCACTTTTGAAAACTCAGTCGAAGGTAGAAAAATTTGGGCTAACCGGTCATCCTACCAGACGCCCCACCAGTCGTTCGGCCGGTTGACCGGAAGAGTGATAATTTTTTTTATTTTTATTTTTTGACACGTTAATTTTCCGAATTTTAAAAAAAAATTTATGAGCTTTAATAGAATTTTGAGTTATATGTTTGGTTATGAGTTGTAAGTTTTTATATCAAATATCATATGCTACATAAAAAATTTCCTACGCAATTCAAAACTCATTCACCAAACAAATTTTCCACACTCAAATCATAATTTCAAAACTCACAAACTGAAAATACAACTCCTATCCTCCAATTATATTTCGAAAGTTCTACCAAACGCTACCTAAATTTAATTTGTTTGATCCATGCTAGGTGATGGAACTCAATTAGGAAATTTTATTACTAGAAATTCAATACCCCATAATCTAATAAATGATATATTCAAAACTTAGGATTGAACTGGAGTATGAGATTATCAGTACTTCTGTCAAGAATCATTTTGTCATTCCAACTTATTCCGAAGTTGGGATTTAGGGGGTTGGAAATTACATTCTCATTCTTTCTTAAAATTCCTACCATCCAAATTAAGCCTAAGATATTGTGTTGTGTATGCTCCTCACTACCCTTGTTCAATCTTTAATGTATTGAAATATTAAGGCCTTGAGGCCTTTGCCAATTCTAAGAACATGAAAGAAAATGTATAGTATCTCAAAGATAAGAAGGGCATGTTTGGTGTAACTTTTTGCAAGTTGAAAGTTAATATTTAGAAAGTAGAAGTTAAAAGTATCTCTCCTCAACTTTTTAAGAATCAATTTTTTTCAACTTATTTAAACTATTTTAACCTCGTAAGCTATAAGTAGAAGTCGCGCTAAACATTTTGACACAAATTTTCAAAATAATAAAAAATAAGTTATAATAGCCCTCCTCATAAGTTGCACTAAGGGTTCTTTTAGCTGCCGATTATAAGTTGCTATTTTTTAGGTTTATTTTGTCTTAATATGTTACTTTTTAAGTCCTAGATTAAATGATCCTAAAAATTAAAAAATAAACCAAAAAACAAAATCCAGCCAAAAAGTTGGTGCCAAAGGAAGCCTAAATGGATCAAAATGCCTTGTAGTAGTAGGACTTCTAGCAAACATGAATTTTGTCAACATCTTCACTTCTTGGAGCATGCTCAACAAATTTTGTATCAAATTATAATTCAAAAAATATTTTTCTATTTTATGTAGTTAAATTTTTTAAGTACACCATCTATTCGACTCTCTATTTATTAAAAACTTATTTTATTATCTTTTCTTTTAATGGATAATACCCCAAAAGTCAAAGTGATTGGGGGCAAATTTTGTATCAAATTATAATTCAAAAAATATTTTTCTATTTTATGTAGTTAAATTTTTTAAGTACACCATCTATTCGACTCTTTATTTATTAAAAACTTATTTTATTATCTTTTCTTTTAATGGATAATGCCCCAAAAGTCAAAGTGATTGGGGGGATTTTGTATCAAATTATAATTCAAAAAATATTTTTATATTTTATGTAGTTAAATTTTTTAAGCACCATCTATTCGACTCTTTATTTATTAAAAACTTATTTTATTATCTTTTCTTTTAATGGATAATACCCCAAAAGTCAAAGTGATTGGGGGCAAATTTTGTATCAAATTATAATTCAAAAAATATGACAGCTCATTAGAGCTGTACGAAATGACCTCTAATTAGAGGTATGT